CAGCTTCCACTGTGTTACCGCCCTGCTTTCTGCTTCCCTAGTGTTACATGTTGCTGAACGCGCAAGGGGGGGGGGGGGGGGCGAAAAGCATCCTGGCTAGCGCCCCCGAATCGCATTGTCTGAATTCCGGGGGGGTCGTGCGACACGTCAAAATACCTAATATTCGCGTCCCCGAGGCATAATCCCTAGTACATTACACGATGTTCGAGCCCCAAAGGCCATAAACCTTAGCAAATTACATCAAATTCGCGTCCCCGAAACCATAATCCCAAGTAAGTTGAACAATCCTCTCGTCCCCGACGGCATCGGCCCTTGTAAGTTACATAGATTCGCGCCACCAACGCCATAAACTCTTGTAAATTACAAAATACTCGCGCCCCCGAAGCCATAAACCCTCGAATATTCGCGCCGCCAAAGCCAAAACCCTGGTAAATTACATCGTACTTGCGTCCCCCTTGCAAATTGCACAAGATTCGCGTCCCCTAGGCCATACACCTTTGAACATTATACAACGGTTGCGCCCACGAGGCCATAAACCATTGTAACTTACGCAATCGTGGCATCCCGGAGGCCACAAACCCTCGTGAAATACGCAGTTCTCGCATCCCCGAAGTCATAAACCATGGTAAATTGCGTAACAATCGCGCCAAGGAAGCCGTAAACCGTTGTAAATTAATATTGGCCCTCGCGTGAAGTCCCGACATTGCTTCACGTCAGCGACCAGACATCCCAAGACAGCTCTGGCAAGTCCCATTCTAAGAGAGGGGGGCCGGCGGTATGGGGGCGAAGCCCCTGCGGCTAGACACGAATCCCAGGATTCAGCATACTGTCTCCCACATGTCCTAGGTCTTCGTCTTCCCGCCCACTTCCCCCATATCGTCCAGGGAGTCGATGAATTCATTGTGTCTGTGTGTTTCTTCCCCTCCTGAGCGTCTCCGCCCGACCGGCGGAGGCCGAGCGTCTCCTGAGCGTCTCCTGAGCGTCTCCTGAGCTGGCGCCCCCCGAGCGTCTCCCGAGCTGGCGCCTTCGCCTCCCTTCACCCTTCCCCTCCCCTCCTCCAGCGCCTCCGGAGCTGGGACGCGTGCGTTTCTTCCCCTCCTGAGCGTCTCCCGAGCGTCTCCCGAGCTGGCGCCTTCGCCTCCTGCAGCGTCTTGAAGTGCCCGTGCCCCCCCCGGATGCCCCTGGCGCGCCGGGCGGAGAGCGGGCGGAGCGGGCGGAGCGGGGGCGCCGGGAAACCCGCCGCCGTCCAGTCCAGGGCGGGCCCCCGCCTCCTGCTTCGTCCTCCCTTTCCTCCTCCGCCCTCCTCCTCCTCCTTCCAACCCCCTCCTCCTCCTCCTCCTCCTCCTCCTCCTCCTCCTCCTCCTCCTTTTCCTCCTCCTCCCTCATCCAGCTTCCTGCTTCCTCCTCCAGCTTCCTGCTTCCTCCTCCACGTCCTCCAGGAGAGCTCCAAGCAAGACTCCACCACCAGCCCTGGCCAGGTCCCCCCTGGGCCCTCGGCTGGTGTGCAGGCCCTCCTGGCCTGGGCCTGGAGGTCTGTACACCAGTCCAGCGCCCAGGATGGACCTGGCCACGGCTGCGTCCATCCGAGACGTCCTCTCCGTCCCCTCCCCACCCCCTCTTGCCGTCGCTCTGGCGTCCATTCCCCGTGTTTCCTCGGTTTCGTGCGTGTGTTTTGTTGTTGTGTTTGCGTGATGGTCCAGAATGCTCCCCGCTGCTCCCCGCCGAGCAACGATGCACACCTCCGAGCGATGCCAAGTCTCCGTCCTCCCCCCGTCTTCCTCTCCCTCCTCCAGCTCCTGGGCTCCGAACCTCGCGCCCTCGCGCCGCCCCCCTGGGGGAGAAGAGGAGTACGAGGAGCACCCGGGCATGTAGAGCCGCGAGGCGCGAGGAGCTTCGCGCCCTCGAGTCCTCCCCCCCTCCTGCAGGGCCCCGAACCTCGCGCTCCCGCGCCGCCCCCCAGAGGGGAGCAGAGGAGGACGAGGAGCACCCAGGGCATATAGAGAGAGCCGCGAGGCGCGAGGAACCTCGCGCCCTCGAGTCCTCCCCCCCCCTCCTGCAGGGCCCCGAACCTCGCGCTCCCGCGCCGCCCCCCAGAGGGGAGCAGAGGAGGACGAGGAGCACCCAGGGCATATATATACAAGTGGCACGTGTGTGCCCAGGCTCATACAACAAGCTGAAGGGGCGTTTGAAGCAGGAGTGACATGCAACAGCGAAGTCGCACTCGAGCGCAAGTGGGGTTGCCACACCTTGCGATGTGTGTACCAGGGCCCCCCAGGAAGCCTCAGGAGGCCCGACTTGGATACCAGAAGAGGCTCCAGGAGGCCCCAGGATTGTGAGTGTTGTGTGTGTGTGATGTGTGCTTTGTGTGGTGCGTGCTTTTTGCGTGTTGTCGGTGTTGTGTGTGTGTGTATGTTATGTTTGTCTAGCGTGTGATGTGTTGGGCGTGATTTGTGTCTCTGTGTGTGCATGTAGTTCTGAAGCCCCAGGAGGCCCCAGGAGGCCCCAGGCGGCCTCAGCAGGCCCAGGAGAACTCCAGGAGGCTCCGAGGCGGGGTCTGGGGTACCAGAAGGTCCAGAAAGCCCCAGGAGGCCCCAGGAGGTTCCAGGAGGCCCCCAGGAGGCTCCGAGGAGGGGTCTGGGGCTCGATTTTGGAAGGATGTCTCAGGCGAAACCGCCATTCTCTGAGAATCGGAGTCAAAATCATTGAAATTACCATGTGTTTTTGAAGGTTTTATAATAAAATGTTGGAAATCCTATGTGTTGCTGGACCCTGACGTCACGATCTGCGTGAGGGGTACCACCGATTTTCAGAATTTCGAGGATGTCCCGAGCGAAACGGCCAGAAAAATCGCGAACGACGGACGCATTAATCGCCTCTGAGCTCTACTCCCTCGGAGAGGTGCGTATGAGAATATATATATATATAGAGAGAGAGAGAGAGAGAGAGAGAGAGAGAGAGAGAGAGCCGCGAGGCGCGAGGAACCTCGCGCCCTCGAGTCCTCCCCCCCTCCTGCAGGGCCCCGAGCCTCGCGCTCCCGCGCCGCCCCCTAAGGGGGAGCAGAGGAGGACGAGGAGCACCCAGGGCATGTAGAGAGCCGCGAGGCCCGAGGGCGCCAAGAGCTCCGCGCCCACGAGCTTCCCCTCCCCTCCTCCTCCTCCTCCTCCTCCTCCTCCTCCTCCTCCTCCTCCTCCTCCTCCTCCTCCTCCTCCTCCTCCTCCTCCTCCTCCTCCTCCGCCTCCTCCTCCTCCTCCTCCTCCTCCTCGTAGAGAGAGAGAGGCCAGAATCGAGTCGACAACTCGGATCGGCGATCGACATGCATCGGATCGGAGGAACTCTGCAGCCGGGTCGGGAGAAGTCGCATCGGCGGAAACATCGGCAGGCTGGGAAGGCCTCAGCCGAGAAATCGGGAGCCACATCGGAATCCCCAGTCGAATCGAGTCGGGATCGGAAGCCATCGAAGTCGAGGCGAGCCGGAGGAATCGAAACGAGCCCTCCTGCCCCTCTCCTCGTGCGCGAGCGGTAGGAGGACCCTCACCACCGGCCGCCGTCACCAGGACGCTGGGCCTCGGGTGCCCTCGAGTCCTCCCCCCTAAGACCCCCGACGCCATGCTTTTTTCGTGCCGTCGACCCACCAAGGTCTGAATCCACTCCCCCGGACCGGCTTCCTCCAGAGTGGTTTTGCTGACGCCCCCAAGATGCTGGCCAGGGTGCCCAGATGCCGAAAACATGGAAAACCTGGTGAGCGTTTTTGTTGTTAAACTCGGTCTTTCGACGTCGGGCGGAAGTGGGGGGGGGGGAAGGGGGGGTCTGGCTCTGGACCACTGCTTGCTGCGACTGTTTGGAACCGTGCGTCCCCGGGGGGGGGACCCCACCCGCTTGAAACAGGGGCCAAACACAGCCACGATCCACTCCTAGGGAGCCACATGCGAACCCTACCCCCACCCCCCACGATTTCTGAGGGGGAGGGTGGGGTTCACTTCGTTCGGGAGCTCCCGAGCGAAGTGAACCCCACCCTCCCCCTCAGAAATCGTGGGGGGTGGGGGTAGGGTTCGCACGTGGCCCCCGAACTCCACCATGTGAGGGGAGGGGAGGGGGGGGCTTGCGAAGGCCCGCGCCGATGGGCGAGACAACGAATAACAAAAAGCACGATGCCCTGCCGTCAGGAGTGGCCCAGGGCTCCCAGGGGGGTCTGGGCCCTCCTGCCCCCGTCGCCTCGCGCGCGAGCGACATCGAGGCGGAGGGCCCTCTCACCGCAGGGCCGCCGCGGCACCACCAGGAGGAGAAGGAGGAGGAGGAGGAGGAGGAGGAGGAGGAGGAGGAGGAGAAGGAGGTGGAGAAGGTGGAGGCTGGGGCCTCGGGCGACAACAGCCATGCTCAAAACAAAATTGCAGTGGGCGGCCCGACCACAAGAGACCAGCCACACAAAAAAACACCCTGAAACCCCAAGACATCCATGGATTTCTGGTGTGGGAACGTCACGCCTTACATAGCAAAAACGTCGGACCCAAGAAACCCATGGCACCCTGGAGGCAAGCAGGGTGTTTCTTGGCATGACCACCCCCCTGTTGAGGGCAGAAAATCCACCCCCATAATAATCACTCCGACACACGAAGCCGTCTAGCAAACGCACCCACAAAAGGAATCGGAGAGGGCAGGGCTATGTAGCAAAACGCCAAGGGCCGTTTAATAAACACCAAGTATAGGGTGCGAGGGTGCGGGTGAGTTTCCTCCCTTGAGAAATTGACCTCGCAACGAGCAGCGAAACGAGGCCCAAAGTTTGAGACGAGCGTAAGCAGCGAAGCAGGTGCCGAAAACGCAAAGAAATGCCGAAGCGGGGCGTTCCAAACAACAACGAAACACGAGACGAAGCAGTATAACGAACAGCGAAGGAAACACACACGACACGACATGGGCCCAAACCAAGCCAAACAGCCTTGTGGCCGGTCCTTGATGATCAGTCCGCATCGAATCGAAACATCGGGACGGATCGGGCAGTGCGTCCGATCGGGCCGCAGCGGCACGGAGTCAGAAGCGAACCCGATCGGCGGCGCCAGGGTGTGCAAGCCGGCGCCACGCAGACGCCGGTCCGCACCGAGCCGTCCGACCATTGGTATCGGATGGGATCGAGCTGGCTGGAGTCGAATCGAACCGATTCGATGCTCACGCACGCTTGCCAGATCCTCACTTTTCCAACTTCACCTTGTGCTCCTCCTCCTCCTCCTCCTCCTCCTCCTCCTCCTCCTCCCTCCTCCTCCCCCTCCTCCTCCTGCTCGCCCCTGCGGCCCCAAGCGTCGACACAAGAGGGCCCCAGGACAGCAATCGCAGGCCCCCGACTGGATCAAAGGGTCGGCGGATGTGGCGTAAGTCTATAGGATCGATTCGACCGGATCCAAAGTCCAGTCAAGTTGAAGGGGTCCTGGGACACATAAATAAATGCACACAAACAAAAGGGCTCCCCATATTTTCCTATATTTTCTGGGTTTTTGTCTTCCCCCCCACTTCCCATATTTTCCCATATTTTCTCGGAATCGACGAATAATTGTGTCTGTGTGTTTTTCCCCTCCTGACAAGTGGCCGTGCGCTTAACAGTGCGTCAGCAGGCGCTGCCCTACGAGCAAACTCGCGTGTTTCGCATGTCAGGCTTCGTTCCCTTCGATAGCAGGAGGGAGCAGGGCCGCACGACACGCGAGGACGAAAGGCGAGGATGTGCGGCGAGCGAGGGAAGGACGGAGGACAACAGGGGGCGACCCAGGGAAATGCGAGCGGGGGATCCAGAGCGGCTTCCTCCTGCGCCGCTTCGTCGCGCCAGTGAAAGCAATCTGCGACTCGGGAGGGAGAAGGTGGAAGAGGCGACAGGTCGCGCGGCCGCCAGGTTGCCAGGGCGCGCTGGGCATTCACGTGCTCTCTCAAAACACGCCGTCTTGAGTGTGGTATTCCCATTTGTGGCCTTGCCCAGCGACTTGAACGGCGCGCTCATGCAAAGACCTGGCCCGTTCCCGGTCGCCCACGCTTCTGAGCGAATCTAGACAAGCGCGTTCCCCACTGCTCGCAGCGCGGATGCTCGCCAATGGCATGGATCCGCCGCGGGGAGACAGACGCTTGTTCTTAGGACCTTCGGCGAGTATGCACTTTGCGAATATCGGGTCGGGCGAAAGGGGGGGATAGCAAAGGGGGGGGGGGTGAGAATCAGCTCACGTAGCTGATTTTCCCGGCGCCGCGCGCCCATGTATCGAGGAATGGCCATGCGGCGGGGCCGAAACCAGCTGCGTGCAGCAGCTTTCGTACCCCCCCCCCTTTCCCAACCCCCCCCCCTTTCGCCCGACCCGAGAATAGCGCAGCGCGCTCGGCGACACACTCGGGAGCGGCCAAGAGGGGGGGGTCCAAGAGGGGGGGGCGCAAATCAGGACCGGCGGCATGTGCGCGGCCCAGCGGGGGGGCCAGGGACGTAATGAAATAAGAAGAGGCGCCATAAAATCTGGGGAGATATCATGGCCCCCGCCATGATATCCACCCCCCCCTAGTCATCACCCCACCCCCCTCTTTTCCGCCCCCGACACACACACGCACGCACCATCGGCCGGGCCCGCGCGGCGGGGGCGCCGCCTCGTGAAGTCGCCCACGGGGGGCGCCTCGGCGCGGCCGTCGTGGCGGCCCCCCCCACCCCTGCCACTCCGCCACGCCCTGCCTCGGCGGTCGCAGCTCCCCGTGCCCCCCCGCATCCACGCTTGGGTTGGGCGCGTCCCCCATACATGCGGACTTTGGGGCGAAAAATTGAAAAGCGAAAGCGTAAAACAGCAAAAACAAAAATAATCAAAACTAGCCGAATAATCGTTCCCAGACTATCTTTAAAACTATTTGTGAATAGTCCCCCTGTGGAGGGACATGCCCGATTTAACTCCGCGTCTCCCTTTAACTCCGCGTCTCCCCCCTCCCTCTCATCGCCCCACCCCCCCTTCCATCCTCGCCCTTCGCCCTTCCGGCCCCCCCCCCCCTCCCCAACCCCCAGCGGAAAGCACACCGCCCCGCCCCCCCCCCCCCTCTCCTCGCCCCCCCCCTCCCCCCGTCTGCTCGCCCCCTCCCCTCCTCGCCCCCCCCGTCCCTTCCAGCACCCCCCTCCTCCCCCCGACCCCCCTGGCTCGCCCCCTTGGCTCGCCCCGCTCGCGCCCGCTGCCCCCCTTCCCCACATAACCAGCCTCGAACTTATCCCTATCCCTGAGATGGGCGAGCAAAAAGCGAGGACGATCTTAGGGATAGGCCCTCAGAAACTGAGGGAATCCTTGAGATCGGCATCGAGGTGAGGGGATGTCAAACATGAGGATAGGGATATGGGATATGTTCAAACTGGTAACCACACTCCCGTCGCCCTACCCTCCCAGTGATGGGCAACGTCGGGAAGCCCTGGTGCGGTAGCTCGCATGGGACGCCGTCCCAGACCCCTCTGGGAAGTGCTGCGGAGGAGACGGACGAGTTTGCTGAAGAGATGGTGCTACAGAGATGGTGAAGCTGAATCGGGTAACCATCGTTGAAAATAGATTAGGTGCCCGCCCGCCCCCCAAGGAGGACCGAAAAAGGTGAAACCACTCGATCGTTGAAGTACGAACGCGCTTGAAGTACATTGAAATCTGGGAATCCAGAAATACATACGTTCAACGACCGATGGGCAAATCCGCCGACCTCTTGGGGCCTACGGCGTGAAGAGACGATGTTGCCCCTCCCCAAAAGCCCCTCCCCCCATGAGCCAGGCCCCGGCCGCCGCAGACCTGCTCTCGGACGGGGTCTCCGGCGGCTTCGACATGGCCTCGGCGGCCCCCGAGCTGCCTAGCAGTGTTCTCCACGGTGCCCCAGGTGGCCCCAAGAAGTCCCCAGACGACCGCGTTGAAACATCAGAAAATTAACATTGGAAATCGCTGGCGCTCCCTATGGGAGCACGGAGCGCTGTATTGGGCAGGGGAGACGCATGCGGACACCGCCATTGAGACCTTCGGTGGAATTCCCAGATGGGGCCAGGGAACGCTGCACTGGGTGCGGGAAACGCACACGAACACCGCAGGCCTCCAAGTTGCCTAGCATGGTCTCAGAACAAGTCTGGACATCTCGAACGCGTCTTCGGACAGCTTCAGGACGACCCTGACGAAGGCCCCAACGAGCAAACATCGCCCCATGCCCCGAAGACAAATGGCCTCTCCCGAGTATGTTTGTGTTTGTGTGTGTTCTTTTTTCCAAGCGTCCAAGACTGCCTCGGGGAGGCCTGCAAGGTGATCGACCCAAGGCGACCCGGGCGGCCCTTCGGAGGGCCCCGAGACGGCTGCCGACGGCCCCGGGACGCCCCGAGAGGCGGCCAAGACAGCCCGAGAAGAGCCCAAGAGGGGTCCAAGACAACCGAAGATGGCCCCAAGACGGCCCAAAGAGGCGCCCAAACCAACGTATGAAAGCCCCCGATGTTTCACCCACGGGCAGGAGGAACGCCGCTCCGCGCCGGCACGTCGGCGGTCCGACGACCTTCAGCCTCTGAAGCTGGAGGCTCCAGGCTTCCGATGGCACCCTGAGCCTCTGGAGCTCTGGACGCCCTTGCCCCTGCCGATGCTGTACGAGTCGCACTCGTCGTAGGCGTCGTAAGCTTTATCCTTGCCCACGCCCTTGATCTTCGACACAGGGGTCCAGATTTTAAAAAAGCCCTGGAGGCTCCCGAACGGCCCCCTGAAGCCGCTTCAGACTGCCTCGAAGGAGAGGGGCTGGACGAGAGGCGAGTGGCCCCACTTCTTCACGCTCGTGGGGCCCTGGGCGCCTGTCTTTTGGGCGGCGTTGTCGTCGGATCGACGACTGACGATCGAATACCGATGGGAAACACACGACAAAACACGATGAACTCCACTGTCAGTGGGCAAACGAAACAGCAAGACGAGTCCATTGGGGGAGTCACAGGGCGGAGGAGAGGGAACGCGGGAAGAAAGAGGAGGAAGGAAAAGGATAGCAACGCTACCGACAACCAAGTATGGTCTCGGCATCCACGAGCCCTACGGGGTCGGCGGTGCGGCGTAAGCCACCGAATCGACACATACGTGGGTACTTTGATGAGGAAGTAGAGTTAGGTCGGGCATGTCCTCCTACAGGCGGAAATTGGGCAGTTTAATCGATATGCGAAACAACAACTCAAAAACTCAAACAAACAAAAAAAACATAATACAAAAATCGTCTGACACTGTTTCACACTATGTTTGAGCATTCCTCCCGTAGAGGGACAGGCCTGACTCAAAAGTAGAGGGCAGGGCAGGGCACCTCCGGGGCTGGTAGGGCACCAGGCGACCTGCTTATTTTTCGTCCAAAATCCCCCTGTAGGGGGACAGACCCGATTTAAGCTCGGACTGACGGGGCCATCAGGCCATCATGAAACTAACGAGACCCAATCTGGAATTTGACGCGAACTCCCGCCGCAGACGTCCCACGAAAACTGAACCGTCAAAATCCAGGACGCGCTCGTCAAAAAACGTTGGCAAACCCGAGTTCCAGCTTACTCGAGACTAACGTTTACCCGACCCTTGCACGCCGAGAGGAAGCCCGGGTGGCCCGATCAGCGCAGACGGCCTGACCTGTGCGCAAACTGACGGTGCTCGCGCGCACGGGACACTGGCGGCCTCGCCGGGAACCGCTCGGGCCTCCACGCTCCTTCGCATCTCAGAGTCCCGCGATGCAATCCGGCGCGATGCAGGACATCGCCAGGTGTTAATCCGAGTCTCCGTCGGAGTCTCCCCCTGGGATCGAATGGAACCTGGCGCGTCCCTCCATCATACAGCTTGCAGCTGGGGCCCGTCCACAAGAAACCTTCCGCGGAAACCCAACCCTGAGACTCCAGGGCGCCCCTTGATTTTTGGTGCGGGAACGTCGCGCCTTTCAAAGCAAAACCATCGACACCCAAGAGACCCAGAGCACCGTGGAGGCAAGCCGGGAGCTTCTTGGCATGGGCCCCCACTGTAGTCGAGGGAGGAGGGAGGACTGCCTCGCTTGCCTCCCCGACGCCTGACCAGAGAGCGCCGCGGGATCCGGGAGCCGCGCTCTGCGCACACGGCGTCCCCCCCCCCCCCCCCCCTCCGCGCGCTGCGCGAGGCAGGAGGCAGGAGGGGGCAGAGAGGAGGGAGGGGGGGAGGGAGCGACGGAGGGGAAGGCGAGAGCAGAGAGAGAGAGGAGGAGGAGGAGGAGGAGGAGGAGGAGGAGGAGGAGGAGGAGGGAGGAGGAGGAGGAGAGGAGGAGGAGGAGGAGGAGGAGGAGGAGGAGGAGGAGGAGGAGGAGGAGGAGGAGGAGCGAGCGAGCATGCAGCAGTGCAGTCGAGCAGACGATAGCACAGAGCATAAAATTGGGAGAGGTGGGCTCGATCAAGACACCGAGCCCATCGATATGGAGAGCGTAGCCCTGGGCCTTAAGGGGTTACCAGGCCAGGGCCACGCACGCTCAATCCGAGCTGTCAGAATCCCCACCTCCCGCCACCACCCCCGCCGTCCCCCAAGAGAAGCAAGCCGCCTCCTCGAGGCTCGGGGCGGCGGCGACCTGCTGCAACAGGTCACTCGGGGCGGATGGAGGGGCGGAGGCTTGCGCCTCGGGGGGGGGGAAAAGAGGCAAGGTAGCACCCGTCCTGGGATGCTTGCCACGTGCAGCGAGCGCCAGCATCCTGAGGTGGCCAGCACGAGTGGACCTGACTCGCGACTCGCCTCGACACTCCTTGCTGAGTCCCCGACAAAAGCCATGAGGGAGCACAAGCGAGCAGGCACAGGACTGGCAAATAATTACTCGCCCGTATCTGATCGGGCGATGCTGCAACTTTCGAAAGACATCAAGGCCATCGTCCGAGGCCGACTCTCTTGGTCTGGGGCAGGAAGAGGACGAGGAGGTCCCCAGGGCCCCAGAGGAGGAAGGAGGCAAACCAAGGTCGGCCGACTCAGGCTCTAAAGACAGTTCTGCCTGCTGGTCAGAAAACGCGCCCCCAGGAGAGCCCCTAGGAGGAAGAGCAGCATCAGCAGCAGCAAGGGCAACCTGAACTGACGGGTCGCCTGGGCTGGATTCATGCTGGCTGAAAAAAAATCACGCGCTCGCCACGCCTGTATCTCGTCGGGCTGGCAAAACCTACTGGCACCTGTTCGGAGCCCTTTGAGAGTGTACTCTGTGGTGGCGGACGCATTACAGTTTCGGCATCGCCACCCTTGGCGGGCTGGGATGAACATCAAATCGTGCTGTACGAACGTGACCGACTTACCTAAGCTATGAAGCTTTGGCGGCATGGGCGGGGGCTCTATGGCCTGGCCCACCATCCCAAACATCTGAACAGCTCTGGAAAGATAATCCCAAGTGCGTTTCACCTTCTTAACGTGGGCCCGCTCGGCCGCGACGGCCACCTCAGGCACACGATGCATGGACGACCCCACACGTGCAAAGAAATCAGCCCACAAGTTGCCACACCAATCCTCAAGGTGGCGCTGAGACAGGTGCATCACGTCCTCGAGTTCCCTATGGGCGGGGACCCAGGTGAAGGTTGGCCTCTCCAGGCCCTCGGTTACAGCAATTATCTCGCGCCAAATATCTGCGCGCAAAGACCGCGCCCCCGCAGCCGACGGACCCCAAGAGGCTCCTTCCCTAACAAAAGAGAGGTGGTCACTACACACCTCGACGCCAGGGGGTGCAACCTTGATCGCCCACAATCCAGCAAACCGCTCGGCCCTAGGCACAGTCTGGCGCCCAAGCAAGGGCCCGAAAAGGGCCCGCAAGGGGCGCCCACAGGGCCCCACCTCCACGACAGACCATCCACACCGTCTAAGCTCAGGGCTGGAGCTCGCCAACCCTGAGCCGTCAGTGTAGACGCGCTGCCCCCACTCTCGATGGGTCGCACCCGAGTGAAGCACTGGGCACTCAGGGGAGGGAGGAAAACTAAGCGGGTAAGACGGGAGCCCATACGCAAGCTCCAAAGTGTCCCAATCGGCCACAAGGTGTTTAAACCCCTCCTCCCTGAGTGCTCCCCCGTGCTCAATGACGTCATCTGGGAGAGCCTCTATTTCGAGATCGTCGGGGGGGGAGGTTACAACAGGGCAATCATATAGTTGGTGACCGAGGGTGGCATTCACAGCAGGGCAAAAATCACATTTTGGCTCAGCCCGCAACCTGGCAGCATGCTTCCGCGCAGGCGCCCAGCAGCCTGCACCCAGCAGCAGACGAGCACATCCACGTCGAACGGGATCTCGTATGCTCAGGATGCCTATCCGCAACGCCCTGCGCCAGACCTGCTCGTTGCCGAAAGCCTCTGGACTATGACTGAGAACCCGCGCCATCTGCCAGCGGCCGACTCCATCGATGAGCAGCTGCTTGAGCTCCATGGGCGGGGTCGTGAGCAGGTTTACCGTCCTGCCCTGGTCGTCGAGAAAAATATGTGCTTCAGACATATGCCACCTGATGCGCTCCAATGTTAGGTAAGTCGCGGAGATCGGGCCCAAACATTTGCCCCAAGAAGGAGCACCATTGAACCTCTTCTCGATGGCCATGTACGCATGCTGCAGCTCGGCGAGCGAAAAAAACTTGGCCCCAAACCGCACTGGCGTAACGCACCACCAAGTTGGTTGTACCACCAAACACGGGATCGCACTGGCTATCTGTCTGCGTGCAAAGCCATGCCGTGATAGAGGCATGGTCGCGGGCCCCCACCAGGGCAGCAGCCACAGATCTCAATCTAGTCATGGTAGTCTCCGCTATCCCACTGACGCCAGCACCGTGCGCAGCAGAAGGTAGGAGCCCTGTCCGCCAGAGCGTCCGTACTTTGTCTTTAGCACCTCGAGCAAGCGCCTGGAGTTTGGAACGTTTAGCCATCAGGGCCGCCAATCTCTTGCGCTCCTGAATACGTCGCACACGTCCACCTGACAGCTCATGCCCAAGATTGCGCATGTGCTTATATACTCTGATACGGTGACCACGAGCAAGCTTCGCAGCCGTCCTCCGCGCTGCATGTCCTGTAGCCACGCAGCCCGACTTGGTGGCCTGGATTATCCATCCATACTCGAAGACCTGCTCAGTGAACCACCTGACAGCAGTGAACAATACACCAGCATCTTTAGGAGATCCACCAACCCACTGAAAACTGGCATCGTCCATCAAGGAACGCGGGATCACGCTGTCATACAGCCTCTTGAACTTGAGGAGGGTCTGATGGAGCATGAGGTGCATCATGGTTGTAGCATGCGTAAGTCCTGCAAGTATGCCCCGATTCGAAGTGCACGGCAGGGAGAGAGAGCCCCAACCTTTGACCACCCGCGGACTCTGGTAGTTGGCCAAGATCAGCCATAAAAGCCGAAGGGGGAAGTTGAGCTCTCTAGCACGCTGCACCAGGCAAGGTAAAATAATCATCTCGAAACACTTGTACATGTCGACCAGCACGGCGATGGAGACCTCCTGGCGCAGCTGCGCCAGTTCTGACACAACGTTGTGCGAGAAGGCAGCATCGACCGAAGTAGCACCTGCACGTGAGCCCCAGAAAGCATCATTTGAGTTGGCCACCTCCCAAGCTTTGGAAAGAGGTCGGCGTAGGCGTCCCCAAATTCGCACGATAGTCTGGATGAGGGCGATTAATCGATGCCCTCCTGACTCCTTGGGTAAAAACGCACCATTCGAGTTTGGGTTCGCTCCTCAGGCCAGGCACAGAGTTGTTCGCACTTGTGCAAGAGAGAGATAAGCGTAGTGAGGCCCACGTCAGACACCACGTCGAGGCTACGCGGATGGATAGTGCACTGCCCAAGGGCCGTTCTCGCTGGGAATCGCCTCAAAACCCATCTCAAGTCTTGCAACTGAATATCTGGCAACTTGGCCCAAGTGTGAAAATCTGTCGGCAACTCGAGCGGCTTCTGATGATGAGTGGACCAAATCGTAGCCCACGTGTCAAGACATTCGTCAGCGCGCTGGTAAGGGTGGGGTCTATCCGAATACTCAAGGACCTCCTGCAACTGACGTACTTTGGGAAACAGATGTGCCTGACGCGCTCCTCCCTGGAAAGAGGCAGCGGCCCAAGCCTGCCGCTCTTGGGTCTTGAAATAGCCCACAGCATGGGCAACGCGATCTACGTTGTCCAGCACTTTCTGGACGTCGGACTCCAATGTAGGCGCACAGAAGGTGACGTGCATATTCTGGATGAAATTGCGATCCTCGGCGTCCAAGAGCGGCGGCACCCACTTGTTACGCGAAACTCTGTGGAAGAATCCCTGGGGGTCCCAGGCCAACTTAGTGAACAAACGAGCCTCCTCTTGCAAAACCTGTGCATCTTCCTCTCGAATGAGGTCGGCCTGAAAGGAACCGAAGGTGCTGAACGCACGAGTCCAATCCGAGGCCCGCTGGAGCTGGATGCCCGCAACTGGCAGCATATGGCGTGGAACGACCCCAGGCTTGCAATCTCGATGCTCTTGGAGAAAAGATACGCTCTTTGCCATGCGCATCTTCATGGCCCGCATATGGCGAGCCCAACGTCCAAGAATCTTGTACGCGGCCAACCTCTGTGGTGGCCTCGCATCTGGAGCTCTCAGCTGATTCCACTCCCAAGAAGGGGGGCCTGCCCGACCTTGGTACCTGCAGCGTCGCCGAGAGTCAATGATATCATATCGATCAAGGACTTCACCTTCCAAGCCCACAATAACAGCATCCCAAGCGGCAGCGAGTTGTTGTGGGTTCTGGGCGTCATCAATCAAAGCCTGCTCAACTTGCCACTCCCGAAGGGGCGGGAACCTAGAGCACCCTGGGTGAGGCACAGGGCCAACTGCAAGGGGCTGGACAGGTACTCTCATCCACATCACTTGTTCAGACTGCATCATCGTGACAGAGACAGGCAAATGCGGGGAGAGATCAGTGTCCTCACGAACCTCGCAAGTGCCCGACTTGGTGGCCAGCGCTGCTGACATGCAAATGTAGTCATACATGGACCCAGGCTTGCTCTGCAAACAAGTCGGGCACGACGGGTACACGACGATGCCACTGAGACTGTTGAAGAAAGGTCGAAGAAGGTAAATGTCCATATGCCAATCTCCTGCTATCAGCCAGCTCCTGCCCTGAGCTTCGAGCGAGGTGATGTATTCAGCAGCCTTGGTTAAGATGTCGATATTGGCGTCACTGAGGCCCTCGCTAACCCGCAGGTAGATGCTGATCATGGCGATGCCGCCTTTGGGCCCCCAGAACACTTGAGCAGCCAGGAGTCTCCCTGGGACAATCTCCACGGGGCACAGGGCGCCTGGGTAATGGACACACGCGCGGGCGCCAGGATCGCCATGTCGCCGACCGTGCCCCCTCGATCGGTCGGTGGCGCCGCTGCCCACAATCCAGTAAAGCCCGCTCGAGCAGCCTGGTGCTGGACGTCGGCGAGACGAGCGGTGTCAGCATGGTGCTCTTGTATGAGAAAGATGCTGGTGGCCGCCCACGGAGACTTGAGCATGTCTATCAACGGCCCATGCGAGCTGACATTGGCAGTGACGACGTGCTGGACGCTTGTCGTGGCGGCGCCAGATTGCGCCTCAGCAGCTCGGCTCTCAAGAGGGGCAGAGGTGGCTGGTGCAGAGCTCTTGACGGACCCCACAGTGTGAAAGCACGACACCAGCGCAAGCAATAATACGGCACGTCGTGGTCGAAACCGCACCTTCACATCACACACTCTAGCACCAGACTCCCCTCTCCCCAGCTTCGGCCATGACGAGAGATGTCCCAGACGGGCCGAGGGTCCCCGAGCCTCCTCAGAAGCAGCCCACGCAGGGTCTCTCGGGGGAAGCACCAGCGGTGGCGGAAAGCCTGGATCTGATATTAGATCCCATTGGTAGTGGCTGAAGTGGTAGGCCAGCGCAATGCCTGCGCAGACGATACAGAAGTTGATGCACACAACTCCGCTGATGAGAAAGTGGTAGCTGATCACGACAACGCGCACGAACAGCTTGACATCAAGATACGACGATAAAGTAAAACTCCCCATTAGATGCACAGACAGCGCCAGCATGAAGACCAGCACTGCGAGATCACGAAACCCAGTCCACTGCATCATCTGCTTGAGGCAACATGTCGGGTCCACGCCTCCGACGCCAGGCGCAAGGGCAAGCCCCAGAACTTTAAGGCTATGCCACCCGACGTCATGGGAGGGACACACCGACAAGGCCACAGCATTCACCACAATGCCCAGGACGGATGAGTTAAGCAGAACCTGAACTTGCACCAGGTGCCGCATCGTCCTGGCCCACACGGCGCTTCTTGGCATAGTTCTCGGCAGCGGCGATCCACCTCTTGGCGGCGGCTCTGATCTGGTCCTCCTCCTCGGGCGGTTCGCTGCCTGTGATGTCACGGTAATATGCTTTGAGCTCCTCAATGTCGTCCGTGTCCATGGGAACTGCCGTCGTGTCTGCCGCACGCACCTCCTCGGCCGACGGCATGTCTGCCCTGGGTGGTGCAGTCGGTGGCGCAGCAGGCGGCTTGGCCTCGGCCTTCGTCTTAAGCTCACGCAGGGCTGCGAAGGACTTCTCGACGACACCTTTGAGGGTTTCGTCGGCTCCAACTCCCGAGAGGAGCTCTCCCAGCTGCTGGACCGACAAGTCGAGGGCGGGCACCATCGTGGTGAGATTGAACTGGCCTGGGACGGGGACAGGTCCTTTCGTGGCGACGGCATGTCGCTGCGCCTCCAGATCCATCCTCTCCGTGGCCAGCTCACTGGCCAGCTTCTCAGCTTGGGCAAGCTGGGCAGCGATGTCCGCTTGCTGCTCCTGGAGGCTAGCAATAGTCTTCTGCTGCTTGGCCTCTTGGAGCTGAATGGCTTCGATGCGAGTCGTCCAGTGCTGCACCTGGGCCGCATATGGCTTGCTGGAAACCAACTTGGACTTGATCGCATCCCTCTCCGCAATGAGATCACTCTTGGCCTTGATGAGGATGGCCTCCGACGGCGTGCCCAGCTGACGTAGTGAGGCGGCGATCTCGTTGAGGCGCTTGTGCTCAGGGTCATTGGCCGCATCGGCCTCTGGCAACAGGGCTGAGCCACCTGTCGCCTCCTTGAGCTTGTTGTCCTGCAGGGCTTGCTTGAGGCGCAGGATCTCGGCGTCCTTGTCCCGCAGCACTTGCTGGGAGACCGCAAGCTGACCTTTGCCTGCACCCTTGGTCTGCGACAGGCTGATGCTGGGGGCCTTGGGCAGCTTGTGTCCGCCGAACGCTGGCCCCTTCGCAGTGTGACACTGCGTGCAAGCTTGCTTGTCACCTCCATTCCACCAGCGCTCGCCCGAACGCGGGTGAAGGCACCAGCGGCAATACCACGGGCCGGCGGCCCACGCCCTGCGCGTGCTTGGAGCAGAAGATCCATTGGCCATCACACACGTGTGAGCGCAAGGGAAGCGAGCTGGGGACGTTCGGTCCCGAGTGTGCCTGTGAGAAAGTTCGTAAGCGGTGTCTCCAGCCTGGGCAGGCGCTGGGGGAGACACGAGAGCGGTGAGGGCCGCAGGTTCCCTCTTGCCGAAAAGTCAAGTCCTGAGCGAAACGCTACGGACTTGAGCCAAAATGGCTACGGAAGGAGGGGGAGGAGGAGGAGGGGGAGGAGGAGGAGGAGGAGGAGGAGGAGGAGGAGGAGGAGGAGGAGGGAGGAGGAGGGAAGGAGGAGGAGGAGAGGAGGAGGGGGAGGAGGAGGGGGAGGAGGAGGAGGAGGAGGAGGAGGAGGAGGAGGAGGAGGAAGAGGAGGGGGAGGAGGAGGAGGAGGAGGAGGAGGAGGAGGAGGCGGAGGAGGAGGAGGAGGAGGAGGAGGAGGAGGAGTAGGAGGAGGAGGGAGGAGGAAGGCGACGACGTTGGCGGCGCCCGCGACGACGAACAGGAAACGTGAAAGAAGATGTCGCCACCTGGTCGGACGCCGCGCCAGCTGCCACGGCGCGCTCCTGCGGGGCGAGCGAGCCGACCGACCGGCGGGCCCGCGAGGGTGGATGGACCTTCTTCAGTCAGGCCTGCCCCCCCCCGTCCCTTCTGCTCAAAATCCTTCATCCGCCTCCTTCCTCCCCATCATTGTTCCTCCCTCCTCCCTCCCCCCTCTCCCCTCCTCCCCACTCTCTCCTCCCTCCCGCCCTCCTCCCTCCTTCCCCCGTCCTTCCTTCGTCCCTTCTCCTTCATCATTCCTCCTCGTCATCCTCCCTTACCGCCCTCCTGCTCTACCTCCTGCGACTGTTATCCCTCCGCGCTCCCTCCTGCACCCGTTCCGCCTTTCCCTCCCTCCCTCCCTCCCTCCCTTCCTCCCTCCCTCCCTCCTCTCTCCCACCCTTGACTCGCTCCCTCCTTCCCTCCCTCTTACACCCCCCTCCCTTCCCGAATTCCCCCCCCCTCCCTCCTTCCCTTTAGTCCACCTCCCCGCCCTGCTCCTCCCTCCCCACATCCTTCCCTCCACAATCGCTCCAGCCATTCTCTGTCAGCCTGCCGAGGGGGCCCGAGGGCGAGAGGGGGCACACCCCGCAGACCGCCGACCAACTGACCATCCAGCGATTACCGGCGGCGCCTCCGACTGGCGGCGTTCTTCCTATTTACTGATCCCTCCTCCCCCCCGCCCCCCTCGACACTAAAGTGGGTGGACAGACAGGCGCAGTAAGTGTGAACTTCAACAATCGTTGATGAGGCGACGTCGTCGTCGTCGTCGTGGACTCGGTCGCAATCGCGGTCGCGACCGTGGTCACCTCGACGTCGTCGTCGTCGCCGCCGCCGTCGCCGTCGCTTTCTGGTAGTAGCGCATCTTCATGATTGCAGACGGGCGCTCCTCGAACGTGGTACTTTCCTGAAGACCCGCGGCACACCCAAGTTGTTCGAAGAGCCAACAGAAGCAGCACGCTGTCCCACGACTGCGCAGGACGCAAATGTGCGGCGGTCACCCGTCGGGACAGCCCGTCAGTGCGGGCGCTCGCCCGCAACTTACTGAAAGCAGCGGTGGGTATGCTGCGGACGGTCAAAATTGGGGAAACCACAAGGTACGGATACCGTCACTCCCCGGACCTCTCATGGGGTGCGTTCGAACGAGGACTTCGAGACGAATCCAGCGGGGCGACGAGGGAGGCCCAGGAGGCACAACAGAGGAAAAACGACGAGTGAGAGGGTAGAGGTATGGATGCCTCTTCCTTCTCTGAGTCAAGATTACTAAAACGCGCGGCCACGGCTTTCTGGCCCGCCACCCCGCAAAATTGAGCAGATCGAGGGCATGCCGCGTGCGTCTGTGCTCTGCCCTGCATGTGTGGTGCAGCGGGGCGGCCCGCGGTGACCGGCGTGGACTTCCGCCAACACGGCTTGAACCAACATGGATACGGGCCCGTCCTGACAGCCGAATTCGACTGGTCTTATCTTGTAGTAGGCATAAAGATTTCGCCACGTCATGCGAAGTTCCCGCCTCCCGACCAAAGCCCCCTCCTCTTCCTCCTCTTTATATCCTCCTCCTCCTCCTCATCATCCTACTCCCTCCTCCTCCTCCTCCTCCTCATCCTTCTCCTCCTCCTCCTCCCCCAATCGAGGCGGCAAGGGTGGGACGGGCTCCGTGACGTGCGGCGCGTCGAGGCAGGCGCCCCGGTCCGGCTTGGGCACCCGCGCCGCCTTCTCCGCGGGCGCGACCCCCGCCACGCCAGCCCCGTCAGCCCCGCCCGGCCACCGCTCTGGTCGACAGCCACCCTCCTGTCAGTCCACTGCCCTGTCGTCGCTGTCCTCCCTTCCCCGCCACCGCTGTCCTCCCTTTCCTGTCGTCGCTGTCCTGCCTTCCCTGTCGTCGCTGTCCTCCCTTCCCTGTCGTCGCTGTCATCCCTTCCCCGCCGCCGTGCCTCGGGGCACGAAGCGGAGTGTGGATGCATGAGAAGAGGCAGCCGTCTGGGCGACCCTTCCCCTTGAATGGCCAAGCGTGCTCAACTACTCGCAAAGTACATGACTCGCAAATGGCGTGGATCCGCCGCGGGGGACTTACGATACATTACACCGAGGCAATAGCATGTTTTCGGACGTTTGCAAGTAGGCATTTTGCGAGTAGTGGAACGCGCTCGGTGATTGAAGTGTAACAAATGAGCCTGGACAGATAAATCACAGACTTACGAAAGCCGCGGCCGAAGAGCCGCGCATCGATGCGGGACAAGCGAGACGTCCCGTGGAGTATCCTCGAGTATCTTCGCGTTCTCTGCTTCGAACACTGCAGACATTCGTCAAATGGGGCCCACGACCCCGATCTCTGGCTCTCTGTCAGGCGCGGCCGGGCGCTCCCTGGGGTGTCCCCTGCGTGATACCTCTGGACGCAGAGTGATGGGCCAATTCTCCACCACAACTACCAGAGGCAGAAGAGGGAGGAGGAGGAGGAGGAGGAGGAGGAGGAGGAGGAGAAGGAGGAGGAAGACGAGCAGGAGGATTTCCCCATCCTCTCTTCTCCCCAGTCCAATATTTGGTGCCGGTGGTGAACAATGTGCACATGACAGAGGGCCCGCCCAGATGGGCCAAGAGGGCCCCAAGGGGCCCCCAAGACAGCCCAGGCAGGCCCCGAAACGCCCAAGGCCGCTCTCCAGAACGCCCGAGATGGCCCGCAGACGGCCCAACGAGCCCCCATCTGACGTCCCAAGGGGGCCCCGAGAGGCCGCCCATGAGGCCCAAAGCAAGGATCTGTCAATTCGGATTGCCCAGTTGGGTCTGACGCGTCCTTGAAGGCCCAGTGGGTGCCAGGCCTGCGCTGCCCGAAACTCCTGGGGTTGCATCGTCGTGTGTCTTGACTGCCTTCCTTTGGCTGCTTGGCCTTTTCTCTTGCCTACCTTCCTCGGGTTGCTAGATCTTGGTGGCTGACTGCCTTCCTCAGGCTGCTTGATCTTGGCTCTGAACTACCTTCCTCGGGCTGCTTGGTCCTGTTGCTTGACTGCCTTCATCGGGCTGCTGGGCATTGTGTCTTGGCATTGTTCCTTGACTGCCTTCATCGGGTCGCTTGATTTTGCTTCCTGACTGCCTTCCTCGGGTTGCGTGGTACTGCTTCTGAACTGCCTTCCTCGGGTTCTTGGTCTTGGTTCCTTGCTGAAGAGCAGTGCCGGGTGCCAAGTGCCAAAGTCACGCAATGCAGAACAATACCAAGCAATACCAATCCGTGCCACCACATGCCGCTCAAGGCAAGGCAGTGCCAGACAATTCCAAGCAATGCCATGCAAAGCAAGTCAATGCCAAGCCAAGCCAAGCAAAGAACAGCAACTCACAGCAATGCGAAACAACACACAGCAACGACACGCAATGAAAAGCAATGCAGAGCAACGCCTTCCTTGCTTCACTACTTCCTAGAATCCTCGGGCACGCTTCGCGCGCAACTGCCGCCGACCCCAGAAGACCTCGGGAGGCAATTCTTTCTCCCGAGACGGCGCGTCTCAGATCTCACCGTGACACGAACTCCTTTTTCGAAGTGCGCACTCCTTTTCGAAGTGCGGAGGGCGACATCGTTGCGCCCGTTGCGGTCCCCTCTCGGAAAGGACAGGCTGCCTGGTGCCTGCTGTCCGGGTTTCATCCCGTTGAGGCCCAGACGTGGACCAAGGATGTGCTGCTTTCGGTCCCTGGATCCGTTGAGGTGTGTGGGCTCGCTCTTCACGAGCCTTATCGACTCGGGCTCTGGAGCAATTGTTGCATGTGGCTCTGCCACCGTTGATGGCCGCCGGCTCACCGCTGGACGATCGGGCCCCTTCGAATGAAGGGCCAAGAGAAGCTCGCCTGAATCTCACAAGGCTCGGACTCGGACTCGGACTCGGACCTGCACAGTGAACGCCAGCGGGTGTGCTGCAGGCGGGCGCCGTGGCGCCAGGGTCCGAAACACGAGCGGAGGAGGAGGAGGAGGAGGAGGAGGAGGAGGAGGAGGAGGAGGAGGAGGAGGAGGCGGTCTCTGCGCCGCTCGGCGGCGGCATCCCACTGCGAGGCTGCGGGGGAGGGGGAGAGAGGACGCCCAGAGGGAGAGAGGGGCGAGCGACGGGAGGCACGACGGAGGGAACGCGCTGGGCGACCCAAGACGGCCCACAGCTGCTGCAATGGGGGCTCGCGGGGGCGGCTCAGCGCCCCCGGCTGCGTGGGACTTCTCGCCGTCCTCCGTTCCTCTCTCTCGCTTCTTCTCGCCTCTGCATGCTGCGCTGCACGAATGCTTCGAAGTTCCTCTGCTCGTCCCTACTCTTCCCTCCCTCCCTCCCTCCCTCCCCTCCCTCCTCCTCCTCCTCCTGCTCCTCCTCCTCCTCCCTTCCTCCCTCCCTCCCTCCCTCCCTTTCTCCCTCCCTCCCTCCTCTCTCCCTCCCTCCCTCCCTCCCTCCCTCCTCGTCCTCCTCGTCCTCCTCCTCCTCCTCCTCCTCCTCTTCATCCCACTCCGCTTCCTCCTCCTTCGTTTCTTACTCCTTCCTCCTCCCTCCTCCTCGTTCCAGAGGTCGCGGCCACCAAGCAAAATCGGCTCGACGGCTTCTCCCGATAATTGCTCCACTGCACCCCCGCCCCACTTCCCTGATCAAACCAACTCGCCAGAGCTTTCGCTGCTGGATACGGGCTGGTGGGGGTACACAGGCGTCTAGAATTGCCAAACACCTCCCGTGGCGCGGCTACCCACGGTGCGAGGGGGTCCGGGGAGACGCCCCTTGAGAAGTCTGCGGCTGTGCTCGCGCACCGCGCTGCGCAGAGCGCGATCCGTTTCGCGCTCTCGCACCGACCCCATGATGAGAACCATGATGATAATGCTGATGATGAAATGGTGATGGTGATTGTGATGTTGATGGTGGTGGTGATGATGATGATGGTGATGATGATGGCGGTGAGGACGATGATGAGGATGATGAGGTTCATGATGGTGGTTGTGATGATGATGGTGGTGGTGGCGATGATGATGCTGATGATGATGGTGGTGGTGATGATTATGATGATGGTGATGGTGATGATTATGATGATGGTGGTGATGATGATGGTGATGGTGGTGATGATGATGGCGATGGTGATGGGGATGATGATGATGGTCATGGTGATGCTGATGCTGCTGATGATGGTGGTGATGATGATGATGAAGATGATGATGATGATGATGATGATGATGATGATGATGATGATGATGATGATGATGATGATGATGATGATCCTGGTGGGGTCGCGCATAACTCGCAACCCGCGAATACCTTCGCGCCCTCGGGGTGGCCTGTGAGGCTCGGGGGGGTCCCTCGGTGGCCGCGCCAGCTCCGGGAGCCTACGGTCAAAAACCCAAATAAGGACGCGCGGTAAGGACGCGAGACCCTTGGAAGCCGAAGTTGGGCTTTTTGGGGCGGCGGACGACGAACACCCCAAGGACGCAAGAGCAAGGAAGAGCAAGGACGCAAGGGTACCCTGAGCAAAGTCGCGCGTCCTTGCTAGGGTTTTTGACTGCATATACCGCGCCGCGGCGGGATGCGGGCGCGCCGTCGGGGCGACCTCCCGCGGCGGGGGCGCTGCGGGGGCCGAGCGGCGCTCTGCAGCGGCCATCCCCCTCGGATGCGCGGGCTGCGCCCTCGGGCAGGAGAGCCCAGAATCGAACCGACGATTCGGATCGGCGATCGGAATGCATCGAATCGGCGGAATAATCGGCGCCCGAGTCGGGGAAAGTCGAATCGGCAGACTTCGGCGGGCGAAGAGGTCTCCAGTGAGACCTCGGATCCCAAGTCGGAGTCCGAAGTCGAATGCAATCGGAAGCGGAAACCGTCGAAGTCGAATCGGATCGGGGACGTCGGAATGAGGTCCTGCTCGGGAGCACGGGGGCGCTCCTGCGAGGTTCTCGGAACCCCCCGGTGCTGCTGTCCGGCCCCCGGGGGGAGGGGCGCGCGGGGCTCCCTGCTCGGCACGCCAAGCGTCGTGCCACTCTGCTTGGCATGCCGAGCTGCGTGCGCAGAGCCGCAGGTCGCAGCTGATGGCACGTGGTCTCGGCACGGCGTGCGGAATCGGCACGGGCACGGTCCGCAGCACTGCATCGAACCTGCTCCAGAGGAGCAGCCCGACACAGCGCGGGGATCGCCCGGCAATGCGCGCCCTGCAAGTGGGACGAGAAGCAGATGCAGGGAGGAGGAGGAGGAGGAGGGGGAGGAGGAGGAGGAGGAGGAGGAGGAGGAGGAGGAGGAGGAGGAGGAGGAGGAGGAGGAGGAGGAGGGGGGGAGGAGGAGGAGGAGCCCCTGAGAGATCGGAGGCCCCGCCCAAAAACTGCACCACGGCGTGACAGCGAGCCCGTGTGAGAGTGGAGGGAAGGAGGAGGGCGGACGGACCACCAGGGGGAGGCGGGAGCCACGGGCGACGAGGGAGGGGAGCACGGAACAGCGAGGGAGGCGAGAGAGAGAGAGAGAGAGAGAGAGAGAAAAGCTGGGCAGCAGGGGGATGGGGAGCAGGGAGGGACGGGGGAAAGAGGGGTGGGGAAGAAACAGAAAAAGAAGAATAATAACAATAATAACAAAAAGGGGAGAAGAACAATAAGAAGCAAAATGATAATAATAATAATGGTAATAATAATAATAATATTATAAAAATAATATGATTAGTGCGAATAAATACTAAGACTAATAATAATAAAAGTAATACTAATCGTAGTAATAATCATAATGATACAAATAATAAACTATACTAACGACTCCGAAGGACGACAGGTGGCACCACCACAACAGACGACACACGCAGTCGGGGAGGACGGCGCCTAGCCTAGCCTGTCCTCCTCCTCGGCCCTTTGCTGCGGGCCCTCGAGGCCGCCAGGCGCACGGAGGGCCCGAGGAGGGAGTGCCCGAGGCGGGCAGCGGGGAGCGCAGCCGGGGCGGGGGCGGGCGCACCCTCCGCGCTTCCGCCTCCAGGGCGAGGTGCGCGCCGGTCGGGAGGTTGCCCTGCCCCGCCCCGCGGGGGCGGTCGCGGCGCTGGCGCCGGGCCCGCCGCTCGTGCCCGCCGCGGCGGCGTTTCCCTGGAGGCGGCGCCCGCCCCACGCGCTCGGCCTGCCATGAGGCCAGGTCGAAGTCACGATGCGATGAGCTGAAGACACGTCGCGGCGGCCGTTTCAGCAGCCCTTGTTGAGCAGTTGGGATATCTACGGAATCTGGGGCATCTAAGAAACACTGGAACGCGTCATCGGCATCACCGTCAATCATCAGCAGCAGCAGAAGGCGCAGCAGCAGCACCAACATCATCATCAGCATCATCATCACCACCATCATCAGCAGCATCATCATCATCTTCATTACTAGCATCATCATCAGCAGTAGCATCAGCATCATCATCACCACCATCATCATCACCATCATCATTCCATCATCCCATCATCACAACCACCATCGTCATCAGCATCGGCATCCCATCACCACCACCACCACCACCACCATCACCATCACCACCACCACCACCACCACCACCACCACCACCACCATCAGCAGCAGCAGCAGCAGCAGCAGCAGCAGCAGCATCATCATCATCATCATCATCATCATCATCATCATGACCTCGTGCTTCTCTGATGCAGGGTGCTGCCAGCAGAGGAGAACAGAAAGCGACACGAACAGAAGCCTTCGGAGGTCAGCCGCGGACGTCTTGGTTCGGCGCGAGGAAGACTCCCTGTGGACTTGCGGATGCCATGACAATGGACACCCTAACAATCCTATCATTTAATTAAGAAGGGTTTAACATGGTTTCTTAAAGAACAACTGTTCTATACATGTGTAAAGTATGTTTTACATATTCAAGACCTTTTTTCTCATACAACCAAAAGCATCTGGAAATGATTCGGCAACCTGCTTCACCTCCATTGATCGTCGTCCACAACTCCATTTCCTCAACCCAAAAGTGGTGGGGGTTCCGGGGGCCGACGGAGAGAACTCGGCATGAGCATGACAGGACTGGACCTAAACCGTGTTGTTCGTGTTCGTCTTGTTTTCGTGTTTCCTCGTCTTGTCTTCAATCCGCCTTTAACTAACGCGAAACGAGATCGGAATGAACACGGCCCAGGAAATCGCCATAACACCTTTGAGGTCCAACCCTGGAGCATGACCTCTTGGATCAGGGCTGGACGCCCCCCCCTCCCTGGCCCTGGCCATCGCTCGGACGTCCACTCCCTGTGCTTCTTTTGGCTTCGTGCGCGGTTTTTCCCCGCAACTGATCGAGGATGCTCCTCGATGGTTCTCGCCGGAGGAAGAACTGCACACGTCCGAGCGATGCCAAGGGCCCCGGCGCGCGGATCGCGCGCCAGGGGCGGCCCCTCTGGCGCCGCCCCGCGCTTCGAGAGAGATGAAGGGGCTCCAGGACACACAAATAAATACACACAAATAAACATATTCCCCATATTTTCCTATATTTTCTGGGTTTCTGTCTTCCCCCCCACTTCCCATATTTTCCCATATTTTCTGGGAAATCGAGGATTAATTGTGTCTGTGTGTTTTTCCTCTCCTGAAGAGAGAGGGCCCCGCGTCGAACCAACCGGGAGCTCCGCGCGCGCCTCCCCAAGCGCTGCGGCGCGCTCTCCCCTGCCGCTCGCCCCTCCCCCGAGGGCGAGGAGGCCCTTTTCCCCCGTCCTCGCCATCGCTCGGACGTCCATTTCCCGTGCATTTGTTGCGGTTTCGTGCGTGTTTTGTCTCCTCGATGGTCCAGGATCGTCCTCCATGGCTCTCGCCGAGGAAGACATGCACACGTCCGAGCGATGCCAAGACCTCCTGCGAGGGGGAGGGGCCCGCTCCCCGCAGTGCACGCGCGGAGGCAGAGCGGGGGCAGCTCTTCGCATCAGGGGGGGGGGGCTGAGGCCTCCGAAGGGGGTCCGAGCAGATGGGGTCGGAATGGGTCAGAGGATCGCGCCGCATCGCCGATACATCGGCGTTGCATCGGCGATGCATAGGGATGCACCGGCGACGTGGGCGATGCATCGGCGGCGCCAGCGTGAGGTAAATCGGGCTCCACATCGAGCCGCCTCGCCGATGCATCGGCGATGCGGCGCGATGCTCCGACCCCATCTTCGGGCGCGGCCTGACCGACCCCTTGCAAGCCATCACCTTCCGTGGCGTCATCCTCGCCTATCAAGCTTCCCTCTTGCCGCACACATGCGTTTTGGGGCGAGGCGACGGGCACATCACGGAAGGGGATGGTTTGCTGGGGGTCGGTCAGGCCGGTCCACCTCTGAGTTCTGACCTCTTCTCGCTCCGCAGTGCGGTGCCAGGGCGAGCCCCCTCGATGAGCTCCTCGGACGGGGCGGTCCCGAACAGCTCAAAATGTCCCTCGGCCGCAAGGTTTCGCCAAGCCGCTTTGCTGCGGAGCGAAAGGCGGAGGACCGACCCCACGGCCCGTACAGTAAGGATGCTCGGTAAGGATGCAAGAGGGCCTTGAAAGGCCATCTACACGATCCTCGGAGATTCGGGACCTGAGGGCGAAAGGCAGACTGTAAGGATGCAAGAGTAACCTGGGAAAAATTGCTCATCCAAATGAATAGGAAAACAAATATTGCCATAAACATACAAACTCGGAGGTCTGCGCGGACTTCTTGGATCGGCGTTGGACCCCCCCCTCCTTGGCGCGCGGAGCGCTCAAGGGCAGGCGCCGGAAGCGCCGCCAGGGGGCTCCAGCGCCGATCCGAGAAATCCGCGCAGACCTCCGAGTTGTTACGTTTATGTCATTGCTCGTTCCCCTAACTACAGTCAAAAACCCTAATAAGGACGCGCGGTAAGAACGCAAGACCCTTGGAAGCCGAAGTTGGGATTTTTGGGGCGGCGGACGACGAAAACCCCAAGGACGCAAGGCTACCCCGAGCAAAGTCGCGCGTCCTTGTTAGGGTTCTTGACTGTGTGCGGGTTGACAATGTTTTAGTAGGGTTTTTTGACTCTGTGCGGGTTGTGACTGTTGTTTCATTCGGGTTTTTGACGTTTATGGCAATGTTTTCCTATTAACTTGGATGAGCAATTTTTCCAAGGTTACTCTTGCAGGTTGACTGTACTCCGACCCCACCCGGGGAGGCCCCGAGCGGGGAGGTGGGCGAGGGGCCCCGCCCAAACTCCAGGGCCGCGCGGTCCGGGCTCGGGGTGCCGGCGCGCGTGAGGCTGGCACCCCTTCGGTGGCAACGCAGGGGAGCCTCCCGTACCATCTGGTCGGCTCCGGCGAAGCGACGCTGATCGACGCTAGGTCGACGCTAGGTCGACGCTGATCGACGCTCGTCGACGCTATCTCGTCGACTCCTAGACGCTGATCGACGCTGATCGACGCCAAAGACGGAGTTGAGCGTGTGCACCGGGCTCCCATGGCTTGCTACGGAACGCCCCCCCCCCCTCGCCAGCGCTCGGGCGTCCATGCCCCGCGCACCTCCGCGACGTCGACGAGCGCGTGCTTTTTTTGTTCCGCGGGGTGCTCCAAGAGAGGCTCCTCGATGGCCCTCGCCGAGGAGAAAAAAAGGGCACGTCCGAGCGAGGCCATGCCCAGCCTCGCTCTGGGCGCGGCTGCCCGGATGGGGGAGGGAGCGGCGAGGAGGGGCAGGAAACGAGACGGAAGCCGCCGTTCCCGCACCGAGGTGCGGCTCTCGAAGGAGCAGGCGGGAGGGACCGCAGCCCTGAGAGGCTCAGAGCTGCTCACGCACGATGTGGCCTCTGGACGAATGCCATGCGCAACTGGGGCACCACGCCATGACACACGCCCTGGTTCACTGTCGTCGTCTTCGGAGGAGGAGGAGGAGGAAAAGGGAGAGGAGGAGCAGGAGGCGGAGGAGGGGGAAGGGCGGAGGAGGAGGAGGAGGAGGAGCAGAACATGGAGGAGGAGGAGAAGGAAAAGGAGGAGTGGGGGGAAGGAGGAGGAGGAGGAGGAGGAGGAGGAGGAAGTGGAGGAGGAGGAGAATCAGGAGGAGGAGGTGGAGGATGAGGAGGGGGAGAAAGAGGAGGAGAAGGAGGTGGAGGAGGAGGAGGAGGAGCAGGAGGAGGAGGTGGAGGAGGAGCAGGTTCACTGTCACATCGCCTCATTGACGATATTGCTTGCCAACGTGAGCGGCGAGGAGGGCGGCGGGTGCGGAGGGCGCCAAACCCCCGACGCGGTGCTCAATGCTCAAAGCCTGCCTCCGCTCACCGCTGCTGTGCTGCGCTGCTCCGGCCGCCTCAACCCACACGACGGCACGGCGGCCTCCGTGCCCCGACGAGGAAGGCCTGAAGCATCGCCACCCGTTTTCACAAGGGATCTCTCGACCCCTGTCCCCGGTCGTGGGGGTCGTCGAAGGGGCCAAAAGTTTGGGGCACAACCCTGGGATATACAATGGGGGGGGGCGCCCATCCTCGATAGGGGTGCGTCCGAATAGCCCCTCCTGGGGTGTGTCCCAAGGCTTCCCTCCGTCTTCGGGGAGACGCAAGAGTCGGTTACGGGGGACTCGGGTTGGCCTGACGGGGGCCTTCATGAAAATGACGATGGACCTAGTCCGAAAGCTGACGCGAGCTCCCGCTGCAGACATCCCACGAAATCTGGACCGTGAAAATTCAGGACGCGCTCGTCAAAAAACGTCGGCAAACCCAAGTTTCGGCTTACTTGAGTCTTACGTTTCCCAGACGTTTGGCCAGGCGGGGGCCCAAATCTACAAATCCAAGCGTTGAGCAAGGACCGTCCGTCCCGGCATGCCTACAGGCCTGCTTGCCACGAAGTGCTCTCAGAACCCAAAAATGTGTGAACAACACTAACCATGCCCTGAAAACATGAAACCGATGTTTTAAAACAAGGCAGTCTCGGCCAGACATGTTCTAAGAACACTTCGTGCAGACCACAAAAGGTTCTTAGATCGAGCATTCTCTGGTGGACCTAGAGGCAAGCCAGGGCGCTTCGCCACTGCTCGCATTTGGCCAGGCGGGGGCCAGATCTACGCAGTTCAAGCGGTCACCTTCCAGCCTGCACCGACCTCACGGAGCTCTGACCAACATCTCTCCTTCACCAGTCCGCTGCCCCCCCCCCACGTCGTGAATGTGGCGCATCGGCACTCCTGGGACCTTCTTGTGGCGCATGATCGCTTCCTCGCAGGGCGGGGCGGCCGGCTGGACAGAAGCGAAGCGAACGACAAGGCCGCCACGAGGGCAGGAAACCGGGCTGAGAAATTCACGAGTGGCAGAATGACTCGCTTGCATTCCCCACCTCCGTTCATTTGGACGTCCGCAGTGGGTACGGAAAAAATGGGCACAATGCCCAGCAACAAATGTTGTCCAAAACCAACAGCAGCCGTTGTTGGGCAGGCGGCCTTCTGTCTCAAATTCGCCACGTCCGCGGCGACGCAGAATGGACAGGAACTGCTGTTAGTCTTCATACCGATTCTTCGGCGGCGAGCTCAGGGGGGGAAGTGAGAAGGAGAAGGCACTCTAAGAGGGCTCGGAAGCCCCCTGGACTCCTGAGAAGCTTTCTGAGTCTTCCCCAAAACACAGAAGACGTCTTGGAAGGCGGGAGGGCCTCCAAGAAGTCCCGCCGGCTCCTGAGAAGGCCTTCTCCTTCTCCCGCGCCCCCCCCTCGCTCGCCGCCGATCCAATGATTTCCGCACCCGCTCCGATCGTTCCGATGTCAGCCCCCCAAAGAGACAGCAGCGGAGAGCAGGGGCAGGACCCGCCGCCGCGTCCCTCCGCGTGCCCGCGTGCGTGCCCCCCCTCCCTCCGCCACGTTCTCGGGGCGCGCAGGGCTGAGCGCCCGGTGTGCGTCTCTGCTCCCGGGCTCCAGCATCACTGCACGGACCTTGCAGACGTGCTCGAGCGGAGTTTCGCGTGGGTTCTTGTCGACGCAAAACCCCGAAACCTCGAGCGAAGAACGGAGTGAACTTCACGTGGATGCGATGCAGTCTGAAATACCGGCCAAGAAGAACCCGCACGAAAATCACATCGAAATCCGGAATGACATTCTCCAGGACAATCCAGGCTCATCCTTTAGTTTTCCGAACGAAATCTGCTCTGCGAAATGTCGCCATGACCAGTACTCTGGCTACAGCTGAAAGCACCCGTCGGTCGGAAGAAGTGGGTGGAACCATGAAGTAGGAAGGCATTGGGAGTATACTGGGCTCCCGCCCGCCCCCTTGAAGAGGATGGAAGAGGGAGCACCGTTCGACTCTTCAAGTCGGAGTGCGCCTAAAGTAGGCTGGAGTCTGGGAACCCAGATAGATCTACTTTCTCAAGGACCGACGAGTAATGCGGGCCAGTCAGACTAGCCCCAGCAGTCATAGAAGGAAGAAAATTCAGAAACATAAACTTTTGGCGCTCCGCGCGGATTTCCTGGATCTGCGCTGCACCCCCCTCCCTGGCGCGCGGAGCGCGCCAGGGGCAGCGCCATAGGCGCAGCCCGGGGGGCCCAGCGCGGATCTGAGAACTTCGCGCGGAGCGCCAAAAATGTATGTGTTCTTCTTTGAAGTCATTAGTCACCGAGCCCCCTGGAACGTTGAGGCTTGGTAGAATGCCGAGGGACTGACAGGGCTCATGTAAACATTTCAAGGCCCTCTCCAAGGGACTCCACGGCTCGCACGACGGGCCAGGAAGGCCACCGAGGCCATCAAGATGGCCCAACATTGACTCAAGACGGGAGAGGATGAGACTTGCTGAGCAACTTCTCCCCAAGGCAGAAGAGGAGGAGGACGAGGCGAGGGACGAAGACAAAAATCAAACTACATTGCTGAGCATAGCAGGCTAGACCTCCAGCCGCTTCCCCCCCCCCACACACAAGAGTCTCTGTCGAGGTTCCCGAAGCCCCAAACAAGGACACCGAGACAAACAAGAAGAGGAAAGACGCGTGGCTCTTTGAAACGCGTGTCCTGGGTCTCTCGGCCCGCACGAATCCAATGAGAGTTCAGGACACCGTCAGGAAGGCCGCAAGGTGGCCCGAGAGAGGCCCAGGACTGTCCAGGAGGTCCTCAAGAGGCTCACAAGCCAGCCCCGAAGTACTCCCCAGACGGCGGAGAGGAGCACAAGACGGCACCAGGACGGTCCAAGAAAGCCCCAACAAGATCCAAGAGGGCCCCAAGTGTGCCGACAGAAGCACCGAACAGTCCTAAGACGAGCCAGGTAGCCACGTGAGAGCCACTCGAGGAATATAGAGACGCGAGCTGCAAGCGTGAGCGCTGTGCTGACATGGTGGCGGGGCTTGCCGCAATCAGCTGGATGTTCACCCAACCGGGACTAACACGGAAGAAGACAAACCACTGTGTACACAATGCCAGACTGCTGTTCCGACCAACGTGCTCGGAATGCTGCATCTGTGTCCTGTTGCCCTGTGCTCGAACCTCCACCCAAAAGAAAGCTACGGAAAGCGTCTCGACATCGACGAAGAAGGCGACTTATAATTCAGTTTGCTCCGGAAACGCCGCGTGAAGTCCGATCAGGCTCGAGCGCCGAAGCCGTCCGAGGGCACAGTACTCACACCTACTGACAGGACGGCTCTGTGGTGGCCCTCCATCGCGAGGGCAGGACAAACGCAGACACACACATGGACGCACGCACTCCAGGCCAGCCGAAGAAGCGAGACGCCCGTGCCGCGGGCGCCCGCCTCCCGGCGCTTGTTCGCAGCCTCGAGGCTCTGCACGAGCTGCTGCTTGTGCCTCCCCTGCCCCGCCCTCTCTGCGCTTTGCCATCGGGGCGGCGTGACTGGGGTCGGGCGAAAGGGGGGGATAGCAAAGATGGGGGGTTTGAGAATCAGCTCACGTAGCTGATTTTCCCGGCGCCTCCCGGCGCCGGGAGGCGCCCATGTATCGAGGAACGGGCCCCTCGGTGAGGCCGAAATCAGCTGCATGCAGCAAATGTCGTAACCCCCCCTTTCCCAATCCCCCCCTTTCGCCCGGCCCGACTGACGGGGGACGCGGGGTGGCCAGACCTGGGCGCGCAGGCCGCTGCCACCGCTCCGCGCTCAGCCAGTGAAGAGAGAGCCCATGGGACCCGCACCCAACAGGTCCCTCCGGCGAGAGGTCCCCCTTGCGTCTGGCCGACGATCCCTTCCCCGGTCCGAAGGACGCCGGTGTCGGCCCCTACGTTAACCAGCCTCGAACGTATCCCTATCCCTAAGATGGGCGAGCAAAAAGCGAGGACAATCTTAGGGATAGGCCCTCAAAAACTGGGGGAATCCTTAAGATCGGCATCGAGGTGAGGTGATGTCAAACATAGGGATAGGGATATGTTTCAAACTGGTAATACGTCGGCGTGTTCCCTCCAATCATCCCTCCTGCTCCTCCGCGCCCGCTCGGCTGCCGCGCTACAGGGGGGAACGACTCAGAGCAGGGGCCGCGGAGAGGTGAGCAGCACGCTGCGGGGTGCGGGGAGGGGGGAAGATTGTGCAGAGCTCCCTGGACACCGCGCGGCGCCAAGCACCTCGGCTTGGTAATTGCTCGGGGTGCCCCGAAGAACTCCGAGGGCGCTGGCATGCCCGCGAGGGGAGGAGGCGCTGCGCTCCCCAGTGGTGACCGTAGCCTCTCTGCGCACAGGGAGATCATGAGATTCAGACTATTCCCCCCCTGGAGGCCCCCGATTACCCCCCCTGGGCATCCCAGAACTGCGCCACGGGTGCACCAAGTAATAGCGCGCTGGCAGACCACGAATGGGCACCAGGAGGATCCCCCAACAAAAGCTAAACTTTGCTCCCAGGCCAAAAAATGGCCGACTGGTCACAGGCAGACAGGCGGGCAGACTGGACAGCGAATGTTCGATTGTGATGGGGAACAGACACACATTCGAAATTACACCATCGCACACATGACCGCCGCGGACGCGGACTGGTCTGATGGACTACGCCGAACTCTTGCAGACTCCCAAAGAAGGGGTTGGGGGGCATAACGGCCCCCCGCGTTTTTACGCTTTCAAGTTTCCTATCGTGAGGTGTTGTGCGAGGCCCTCTTCGGCCCTGTCACAGCGATTCCACATCTTCGAGACATTCCTCTTCTTTCTCTTCGGGAGAAGGAAAGCTTCTACTGCTCTCCTCTGGTCTTTTCGCCGCCTTAGTCCATCAGAAAAGCAAAACAACAAAAAAAGAAAGAAACAACAAAAAACAATTCTCAAGGAGAATCGCGACTACAACAGACTTCGACCTGGGCGACGCTCGTGAGGCACAAAAGGAACCGGGCACCCGGGACCTGGCGCCGATGAGAGGCCCCGGGTTCCACTGCGCTGACTAGGGGGGGTATCGCGTCACGCATATCATGCGCGCAGACGCGTGGGGGCCGACGGATATTTTGCAAGGAGGAGGAGGAGGAGGAGGAGGAGGAGGAGGAGCAGGAGGAGGAGGAGTATAAGAAGAATAATAATCCGCCAGCCCCCTTCTGGAGCCACCAGGCTGTAGGACGAAGCTGCTCCTCCCTGCTCCAGTTGCAGGTTCAAGTCTCCAATGTTACAGTCCACCTTCTCTGCTTCCTATTGTAAATTGTTGCAGTCCGCGCGAGGGAGGTGGGGCCGAAAACCAAAAACACGTCCGGACCGTGTGTTCTGAATTCCTGGGGGGGGCGTGGGGCATGCAAAAATACTTGACAGTCGCGCCCCCGAGGCCATACTCCCTCGTTGACTACGCAATGCTCGCGTCCTCGAGGTTGCAAACTCTGGTACATTACGTACGTCAGGTTCGCGTGGCGATGTCGTCGGCGTTGGTTCTTGACACCGCGTCGATCGTTCAACCTTGAACGATCGGCGGCGTTTCGATCGCCCGATCGTTTAACATCGAACGATCATGGGCCACCAGCGGCCTTCAACCTTGAACGCCCGCGGCGGAGTCGCCAACGCGTCAACGCTGCACGAACCTACTGTAAGTGGTTCGTCCCCGCAGAAGCAAACCTTTGCAAATTACGCGATGCTCGCGTCCCCGAAGACACACGCCTCCGCAAATGACGCCACAGTCGCACCGCCGAGGCGGAGAGTGCTCCGAGGCGCCCAGAGAGGGTTCCAGGACGGCCCCGAGAGGGCCCAAAGAGGCCCCAAGAGTTAGGTCTGGCCTGTCCCCCTACAGGGCGAGTGTGGACGAAAAATAAAATACTCAAAACATATGCATCAAAAGTTGCCCAAAAATACTCAACTCCGAGAGGCCCAAATCGTAGATTTTACAACAGTCAGTTGAAAGATTCTGACCTTCCCGTATTTTCTTCTGATTTCCGACGGTTCAAGACGGCTCAAGGAGCTCCCAAGAGCACCGCAGTACAGTACAGCCCAAAACGCCTCTAAGAGGGCCCCAAGCTGGCCCAAGAGGGCTCCAAGATGCCCCAAGAAACGCTCAAGACGCCTCAAGAGGACCCCAAGACGGCCCAAAGAAGGGCCAAAGCAGGGGACCATGAACCAAACATTCTAAATTTGTGCCCCGAAAAGCCCGGGAGGTCCCAAGCGGCCGCCGAGAGGCCCCAAGAGGCCCCGACAGGTGCCCACGACGCGCCCAAGAGGCCTCCAGAAGGCCCAAGCGATACCCCACGAGGCCGGCCTCCAAAGGCCCCCCCAGAGGCGCCCAAACCGCCTCCAAAAGGCCTTCTTGGGCTCCCCACGACGCCCCAACACATACACAAGAGGCCTCAGAGACCCACAACGAAGGCACGGTGGCGGGATGGGCCGAAGGCCACTAGGATCCGCCGCCCCCTGTCGATTCATCGCAGGGGTGCCTGGCGTGCTAAATCCTTTCGGTTTTGGTTTTGGTTCTTTTTCCAAAAAAATCCCCCTGGGGCTTCGGCCCGTCCCGCCGGGGTCCCGGGAGGCTCTTCCAGGAGCGCAAACTGCGGAAACAATCCGGCCAAAAACGGCCGTTTCGCTCGGGCCATCCTGAACGACTCGCGAAGATGGCCCAAGATGGCCTCCAAGTCCGCCCAAGATGGTCCAAGACAGCCTCCAGGACGGCCCAAGAGAGTCCAAGACGGCCCAAGAAGCCCCCCAGAGGCCTCACAGACGGCCCAAGAGGCCTCCAAGAGGTCCTCCAGTAGGGCCCGAAGATGCCTGTGGAAAAGACAAGTGTCTGTTGTTCCAACCGCCCTAGCTCTTGCTCGGTATTCTGGTTCCCGTTGGCCTCTACGTTGGCCTCGTTCGTTATGGCTTGTTGCTCGGTCTCCTGGACCTCCGTGTAGTACTGGGTTCTAGCTCTGACTTGCTCCCCGGCCCGTTTGGTCCGAGGTCGCCACTTGGCCTTTTTTCCCATGCACCGGCACGTGGATCACAGAAGATACTGGCAGTTCAACCTGGTTAGGCTACAAACCCGTTTGGGCTTGAGCCAAAGTTGCATCGGAACGGAGAGCAGTGTCAAACACTTTTGTCTAACAGCTCGGTTCCCCTTCACGCTCTACATTATGCGCAAGTGTGCACACGTCTTCTATCCCACTTAGTGGGATAACTGGTTTTTGCAAGATCCTATACACACGCGCCGCGGTGAGCCGCCCGAAGGCGCCACCAGCCCGGCGGAAATCGGTCCGACAAGTCGGCTTGGGCACAGAAACGCAACACTCCCCAGAGCACTCGCAACCGAGGCGCGCCGCGGTGAGCGCCGAATGGCGCCACCAGGCCGGCGGCCACGAGGCAGAAGTGGGACGATCACGGCACCCCGGAACCAGCACACGGCAAGGCCACAGCCTGGGGCCCGCACTGCCGCGGTGAGCCGCCAGAAGGCGCCACCAGACCGGCAAGTGCAAGACCTTTGTGCACAGAAGTGCATCCCGAATTATTGAGACAAGTAATAACTGCCCGAATTTCCGCCCCGAGTCACATACACAGTTTCGACTCCGGGCACACTGAGGCGGACAAATCGTGCCCCCCCCTTTGAGGCCTGAGGGCGGCAACAGGGGGGGAAAAACACAACATGTTATCACACCTGCTATACATGCGTACAATTACTCACTCTGACTCTATTCTGATATGTCAGAAACAAGGATGCCGCCACACAGTGTCTCAGCCTGATGTGTCAGAAACAAGGATGCCGCCACACAGTGTCTCTGCCTGATGTGTCAGAAACAACGATGCCGCCACACAGTGTCTCTGCCTGATGTGTCAGAAACAAGGATGCTGCCACACAGTGTCTCTCCCCTGCCGGCACGAGCGGCGGCGTTCGCAATGGGATCTCATCCACACCCCCCTCGCCGAGCGACTGCTGGCACCGCTGCCGCAGAAGTCAAGCCTGTGGCATCATGTGGATCATCTCCAGCGCTGCTCGGAACTTCGGGCCATTCAGGACCTTGGTGAAGAGGTCGGCCTTCATCTGCAAGGTGGGGCAGTGCTCTATGCTCAGCTGGAGGTCCCGGTCGTTCAACATCTCGTGCAGCATGCCGACGCAGACGCGCTGCGTGCGCGGCAGGTGGCGCAGCCGCTTCGAATATCCTTTGGTCACGGCTTGGATCGTCTGCATGTTGTCGACCCTGCACGCTATCCCAATCCTGCGTGGGAGGACCTCGTCCAGGAGCATCTGGATCGGTATGGCCTCGCGCCGCACGACATGGGAGAATGCGACTGTCTCAGTCTCCGCGGTGGATCCTCCAGTAGACGACTGCTGCGAACATCCCCAAGACAATGGGAAGCTACGGCCAGAGGCCGGCGAGAACAGCTCAATCCACCATCCGGTCACGGACTTGCTGGTCATCGGGTCGCCGTTCCAATCGGCGTC